GTCAAGCAAGCACTCTACCAACTGAGCAACATCCCTGCCCGTAGTGAATGTTTTCTATTTTGGCTAAATTATTCCATTTCGTGCACTGACTATTTAATTGACAAGTACCCTGAAAAGACACAATTTTCTTCTAAGAGATGTCTACTGCACCAGACCTGAAACATTGCTTCCATCTCCTCAGGCTCAAGATGAGAATGACACACTTTCTGCTACAATGCCTACTTCCCTAGTGAATCACATCTCTCTCCGTCACTCATTCACTCGTTTGAGACAGGGTCTCTCTAGGTAACCAAGGCTGGCGTCGAAGTGGTACTCTACCTCCTGCCTGGCATGCTAGTAGACTGCTGGAGTCACAGTAGTGCGCCAGCGCTCCTGGGTGTCATAAGTCTTAGAAAATCAGTAGCCTAGCTAAAGTCCTCATGAACTCCTTGCTTTCTCTTTCCCACCATCCTAAAAACCACCCCTCCCCGACGACCTCAAGGACCCTTGCCTCTCCCCGAACCCCGGGGCGTTCCGTTCGGGTCCGCCTTCCAAACCGCGCCCCGCCCCTGGCACGCTCACGCAGATGGTAATCTTGAGTACGCCGTGGCTGTAGTCCCGGTACAGCTCCCGGGCCTCCCGGTTGCACTCGATACAACGGTACAGGCAAGGGGAGGCAGCCGTCGCCGCGCCATCGGTGCCCTTCCCGGACAGCGACCCCCTGCGCCCGCCCGTCCCCATGGCCACTCTAGGGCCCCTACTTCCGACCTCTAGCGGAAGTCGCCTGCACTAGACCTGGAAAGGTGAGCCAAGGGGCTTACTGGGACTTGTAGTCCGGATGCTGGATGCGAGCTGGAGGCTGAGAGGACACGGACTACGACTCCCGGTGGGTACTGCGGCCACGCGCCGCGCCCACCTGCCCGCGGCGGGCAGAGCACAGCCGCGCCTGCGCCGTGCAGGAAGATGGCACCTGCCGGCCGCGGCTGCGGCTGCTGGGGCAGCTCGGGCGCCGGGGTGGTGCTGTCGCTGCTGCTGCTGCTGGGGGCGCTGGCTTGCGCGCGGGCCACCGAGTACTACTCTCCGCTGTCCTTGCTGAAGCAGGAGCTTCAGCACCGGCAGCATCAAGAGGCCCCGGCGGGCGGCGGCTGCCCGCAGTCGGGGGACTGGGCGGACCAGTACCCGGAGTGCGGTGAGTGGGCCGGGCTGCCCTCTCCATGCGGCCGCCCCTGCCCAGCGTGGAGGCACCTGGGTGGTGGAAAGAGCGGGGATGGGCTCAGGCGGGCGGTAGGGACGCGGACTCGCCTGGAGTGTGCCTGCTGGCGTGGGCCAGGAAGTCCGACTTCCTTTCTGCCTTCCCCGGGTGGGTGTCTTGGGCTCATCCTCACGCAGGAATCCAACCCTGAGAGATGCAAGGCAGCTGGATCTGCGGGGTGACATCAGCACTGACCCGTGCCCCTCAGATGTTCTCCCAAGGGTAGAGCCTCGGGCCTGGATCCTGCGTGCTTTCCAGTCGCTCAGGCTCATTCATTGAAAGCAGATGCTGTAGACCTGTAGAATAAGTGATGGAAGACAAGTCTGGGCAAAATACACATACTCTTTTTCCGTCCTCAGTTGTACAGTGGGCATTTTTTACCCATCAGTACCCTCTCCACCATCCCTTCCCCTCTGTGGGTTATGCTACGACTTGCCTTGGCCTGGGTCTTCCAGACTTACTAGCAGCTGGCTTTTAAGACACCCCACTGATCAAAAACACCTTATGCCTGCCTGGACACTACCTAATATCCTAGCTGAGATAAAATCCCAAGATGAGCCCAATCTGATTTTCTCTGAGCACCATCTGGCGTCTTGGATAAAGTCTCAGTTACTGAGGGTGACTTTGTAACTTATTTTGTGGTCAGCTTGGCTGCCGACAGCATGGCTAATGTGGACTTAGTGAGTCGAATGGCCATTGTAAATGTTACCTCCTGAATCCCTGAATCTCAGCAAGGGAGTTACCTCGCTGTGAATTTAAATTGTCTGTAAATAGGAGACTGTTTATTTGAATGTGGGGTTTTATTTTCCTCATTTCGCTTTGTTAGTTTGGCCGATTAATTTACCATGAAAGCAGTAGCCACCCTGTTGGATGGCAGCTCTTTATCTGAGGAAACAGGCACAATCAAAATGCTAGCTCCCGAGGTCTCTGCCGTGGAAGGGCAAAGGATAATGCTGCAGGCAGTAGTTGCTTTGCATTTTGTTTTGTTTTTGAGAAAGGGTCTCTCTAGCCCAGGCTGGCTTTGAACTTACATTTACCATGATTCTCTGCTTTATCTGCACAAGTGCTGGGATTACAAGTATGAGCTATCATGCTCGATTTTGCAGACAGGTTTTGTCTTAACTGCCAAGTGGTTGTAGGAAATGCCTCTTAATCTGTTTTTCCAAGTCCTGTACAATTATAAGGAAATTGGACCCTGTGAAGCCTTCCTCAGGCACCTGTCCTGGACAAATTCAGAACAGGCAACTAAGCATGTCATAGCCTGCTCCAATAATACCACCAGTGCAATGGTCTACTCTTGATGATGCCCAAAACTGATCAGGTCTCCCAAATCATACAGGTCTGACCTCACCACCAGGGCACCTTTGATCTTACCGTAGTCACTTACTTGCCTGCCACATCAAACCAGACTCTAGACTCAGGGCAAAGAGCAACGGGACTCTCAGAGTCGTTCTCAGGTGCAGGTTGCTGAAGAGATGCCTGCTTGGTTTTCAATCTGCAGCCTGTCTCATACTTGTTCCCTTACTGCAGAGCCCCCAGTGGTGGGAGGTGCACATGGCTCCAGAGAGAGCCCATTAGCCTGGAGGTGTCTATCAGCAATGGCTGGCCTGCCTGGTTCCAGGGAATCCCTGAAGCCTTAAACCCACATGCACACTATGTGTCTCTGCCCTGGGTTTACATGTTTCCCAACCTGTAGTGAGATTTTGGCCTCCGGTACATGTTTTATGTTTCTTACTGAAAACAATTCATAATGCTTATGATCCTATTTTCCCATGAAAAAATATTAAAAAAAGATTTACTTCTATTTATGTCTTTGTTGGGGGGTGGTAGGTATGGGTGGGTGTTCACAGAGGCCAGAAGAGGGCAGCAGATCACCTGAAGCTGGAGTTACAGGTGGTTGTGAGTGCTGGGAACCAAACGTGGATCTTCTTAACCACTGAGCCATCTTCAGCCCTGAGAAAATAATCTTACTTTTTCAAAAGAGAAGAAACGATCTGGTATATTATTTGTTTTTGCTTTTTTCCCCCCTGCTTTATTTTGTTTGATATTGGCATACACTAATTTAAGCTAGCCTGGCCTGGAACTCAGCTTGACTGTCCTTGAGTTTGTGACAGTCCTCCTGCCTCAGCCTCCTGAGTGCTGAGAATAAAAGCATGAGCCATCAAACCTGAAAATTTTATTCTTAAAATAAAAGTTAAAAAAAATTCTTATTCCTGTGGCCCTATTTTTAATTTAAAATTGTGGGAGAAAATACTGAACAAAGTCTTTTCCCAATTCTCTTCCCTATTCTTGACTAGAACCTGGATACATCTCCATCTGACTCCTTTGTTTTATGGATTTAGTAAATTAGAGTCTATATCAATTAAAACTTGTCCACTGAATAAAGAATACAGGTTTCCTGCTTTTCTACAAACCTACATTGTGTGCCATTCAAATGGAACATTGGTTAGTGCTAATGACCTCTGAGTTCTTTACAGACATTTGAAGCTACATTTTAGTAATCCAACACATGCATTTCTAGTAATTTCCAAACTGTCTTTTGGTTTCTCTTTCTTTGCAGTTATAGGAGCGATGAGCTAAGAGAGGCTTTTGGCTTTTTCTTTTTCTTTTTCTTTGGAGATAGCATGTCATATGCTATTTCAGTTCTCTGTATAGCAGAGTATGACTTTGAACTCCTCATCCTTCTGCCTTTGCTTCCCAAAATGCTAGGATTATAGGTATGTGCCACCACACCTGGTGTTTTGTTTTGTTTAATGGTGGGGCTTTGTCCTGGCAAGCACTTTACCAACTGAGCCACATCTTAGCCCGTATGTCACGTTTTTAAGTGACAGCCCTATACTTGATGTCTTCACGGTAGATTTCAAAGGGGTGTCTCCATCTGGTTGGTGACTTTGTTGAATACTGTACTCTGAATGATAGCTTATAGCCTTAAGCATGTTAAGTTTGTTGGGATAAATAATTCCAGAATGAGCCAATGAGATAGCCCACTGGGTAAAGGTGCTTGCCACCAAGCAGGACTCGGGTTCAGTCTCAGGAGCCACACAATGGAAGGAGAGAACTAACACCTGTAGTTGACTTCTGACCTCCACATGTACACATAGTGCACACTTACCCACGTATATTGGCACGTATAATAAATGAGTGTTTTGAAAAATTCCAGCCTTAGCTGGGTGGTGGTGGTGCATGCCTTTAATCATAGCACTTGAGAGGCAGAGGCAAGTGGGTCTTTGTGAGTTTGAAGCTAGCTTGGCCTACAGAGTGAGTTCCAGGACAGCCAAGACTACACAGAGAGACCCTGTCTCAAAAAACCAGAAAAAAAAAATAATTTTTTTCCCCATAATTTTTTTGTCCCTCTATCTAAGTTGAGGGGCTGCTTGCCAGGAGAGTAAGAAGTAGCCACGAGCCCAGCTCTGTAGTTCTGACAGACTCAGCAAGGCCTAGCTTGCCAATGTTGTGTGTCTTTCTTGGGTGGGACACTTTACAGGAACTTAATCTTTCTCACTATGCCGAGGTGTGGCGAGAATCAATGGAAGGAAGCATGGGAAGAGAACAGCTTCCTTTTTTTGTTCTTAGAGGAAGTTGAGAACCAAGTTTTGTGCTGTGTGAACAGCTGTGCAAGCCCTTATTGCTGGCGTGCTGGGTGGGGCTGGGGGTGCTTCCTCAGAACTGAATGTTAGTGTATGGTTGCACCTGGTTTTGGGACATGTCATCGTAATAGACCTATGTGGTGGCCCACAGAGGCTCCCTAGTATGCCTTACTCAAGGTCAGAAAGTCTGAGCTCGCTTTGTCCAACAGAGCTGCATAATGGGATGATTTGGTCAAGGGTGTGGTTGCCAGGTGTTTTGAAGGGTCTACACTTGTTGATACTTTTATTCCTCAACCTTCAAAGGGGGAGATCTTTTGCTCCTCCCCTTGCTGATGTATTAAAAAGCCCATCATGATTAAATTCGAGGCGGCTGGGTATTGACCCAGGGCCCTCCCGAAGCTATCTTGTGTCTCTTTCTCATTGGCTCCGCCTATATTTCTGTCTAATACTTCCTCATTCCTCTCTCTTCCCTCCAAGAAGCCTTTGACAGGCCAGAGCTAGTCTCCTACAGACCTGTATCTGTTGGCCAGGTTAAGGTGTTTTCTTACTATGTGTATAGGGACTGGCCACCATGGTATTGCCCTGGGAACAGCATCCTTCAGAAAGTCCTTTGATTTAACTAGAAATGACATTGATTACTTTGAGATGATTGGACCCTGTGAGAGTACCTATGGTCTTTGCAGATACATTTGCCTTTCAGATGTGTCTTATAATTTTTTTTTTTTTTTTTGAGAAAGGATCTCACTATGTAAACCAGGCTGGCCTGGAATACAGAGATCCACCTGCCTCTTCCTCCCAAGTGCTGAGATTATAGGCATGCATCCATGCCCTGCTATAAATTATATTTCCTTTTAGGAAGTCCAGGAACCACCAGACACATGGATGAGGGCTGATTTCACATCTCTGTGGGCAAAGGACACAGCCTGCTAAACGTGCAGGTTTTAAGACAAGTACAGGTACTTTAGAGCTTTTAGGGAAGCCCTCTGTCAGGTGTTTGGGCCAACCTGGGTGAATCGCCCTTGTAATATTCTACTGTGCCAGGCTCACCTTTGAGAGAAGGAAATTTTTACTAAAACTTGACATATGCAAAAAATGCACCTGATACTGTGGAAACCTCGTGGTTTTTACCAGTGGACCTCTTTGTGATCAAAAAGGACCCCAGTCAGTATGCTGTAATAGTTGATGAAGCTTTGATATGTGACGAGGCATCACATTTCGATGACTGTCTTATGTGGCATCTGAATGAGGACCAGCATGGAGCAGTGGACTTGGATTGGCTGACACATGCTCATGTTCTTTCCTGGACCCTGCACCCTCTGTAGGCCTTTCTGTCTGGGCCCATCTTCTGCT